CATACTTTTATAGGTGTTATAAAAGTGTGTGAAAACTTGAATAAGGCGCCGTATCTGGGCAAGGGTTGGGGTAATTTTTCATCGTGCGACAAGTCGGGGAGTGTTTATTAGAACACAGCATCAAAGGACGGAAATTAACTTTGCTCTCTGGATAAACTGGCGGTCCTTTGCTCATTTCGGGCAGCGTTGTTATTTGATTAAATCACGCCCACGCTCCGAGACGCTGCTTTGCTTTAGCCAGCTGACTTGGTTCTCTATGCGCGACGTGAATAATGTGTGTGTATGTGCCCGAGTAGTTATATACTGTGCGAGGAGCCGTTTGACTCTCTCAGAGTTATCATCCGAGCGCAGATTAATCTTGTTGGTCGGATCGAAACACACGCGCCGATGGAAACGCGGGCGAATTCATGCCAACCGTGGTGACGACACGAGTGCATATTAATTATGACTGACTCAGCCAGGAATGGAAAAACACATCTTATACGAGTTGAATCAGCTTTTGCTTACTTTCAAATAGCCTCGATCCAACGTGTGGAATAAATCAAAGATTTAATGCCGTTCTTCGCAAGAGGCGTATTTGCAGTTAGTGTGCAGTTGCAATGAGAACAATTTGGTCAATAAAAATTAAGATTTCACTTGTACTATCATAATAATTATAACTTTTATAATCATGATATTTATGTTTTATAAATTTTTAATTCCTTTCGAATCCTGAAAAATCTTCAATAAAAGCAAATCTATCAATTTTGATAATCAATTTTAACTTTTTTAGCAAAATATAAAAATTAATTATTCCCCTTCTGAGAATTTCATTACAATTTTTTATTAAACCGTGTAAAAAGACATATGAAAAATTTTTCAACCTGAACATAATATATTAAAGCAAATGACCTCTGGCGATTTTAGCGCTCAGCATTTTTGGACACATATCTGTACCTCCAAGTGTGGCCAACGCTACAAAAAGTCCACGTTGGCCGAAAAGGACCGTGTTCGTACGTCAGAAAGAAAGGCAAACGCTGCAAAAAACAAGTGTTTAACGACGGTTGTCAACGCACCAGCGTCGGCTTTATTATTGAGCAGACCTCTGGGTGTGGACAAACGGTGGGCGGGTGACCTCTCGCTAGGGTCATTAAGGGGATTGAGCAATCGGCCTGTTTAGTCAGTCTAGCACACACAACAAGTCTGCTCCATCTTAATTATGCGTCTCCGCGTGTAAAAAGCAACGGGAGAGCGACGCACTCAACTTTAACTGCCCTCGTTGCAATAAAAGCAAGGCAAAAATCCGCACGCAGGACGAGAAAAGTCACTCTGCACAAATTTCTTTCCGGCCGCTGCGGGATTATTTGAATATGGCCGAGTTCAGCTGCTTACTCGGAGCCGCCAGTTTTTGAGCGCGGAAACCATCTAAAGTCGAATAACAGCGGGGAAGCCTTTGAAAAAAATGAACAGCCCCCGCGTCAGCCGCAGGTACCACACCCGCCCGCCTTCTGCAATTTGGCCAGCAGACCCGTTTGGATGGCGCCCGCCGAAATTTTGGAAATCGTGCCCACTTCCTTCCTATATTGCCGGCGTCAGGAATTGCTGTGAAATGAGTATGAAAATGCCTGAAAGCTGCATGTGAATGAAGAGCTCCATTTCTGGCTAAAAATAAGTCTGGGAATCCGCATAAAATGGATAATTTACAGTTGATGAAAATTTCAGACAAAATTAAAATTAAGGAATTCTCCTCATGCATATTTTTAATTTCATCAAATTTTTTACTATTATTAAATTTTTGGAAAAATGTTTAAATCCAAGTAAATTTAAGCTGTTTTTTATAACTTGCCAATCATGTTTATAGTGAAAATCTCCACCTTTTTGGTTTTCTTTAAACAAATGAATAAATTCATTCTTCAATTTAAAAATTGTTCGGCTAAAAATTATTATGTTATGAATTAAAATTTATTACAGCAGCCGTGACTTTTCACGCAGTCTGTAGATTTTTCAAACCCTCTCCAGTCTCATTAGCGACATGCCTGTTAATTTAGAGGAGAGGGCTGATTTGCGTCGGTTTTAAACGGCCTCTCCACTCTCAAATGTAACCGGAATCTTGGGCATCAGTTGGGAGGCGAAAAGCACCCTGCTCCTTTACTCTGTGTGCCGTGTCGCCCGCATTGCCACGCTATCGGGTTTCCTCTTTCACCAACCCACCCCCAGCAGCAGCATCAGAGTTTTCTCAGCACGCCAAACCACCTTGCTGCATTTTTTTCCTCGCCGGGATGAAAATTTCGGCCGCGATTTCCTGCCCCGCGACATTTGTCACTTTGCCACTTTTAAGCAAACAGCTGCAACCCCCATTACCAGAGATTAAGAAAACACACCCCTCGTCGCAACACCCCCGGCAATTAGAGCATAATTGCGCCCCGCAGCTCCAGTAACAAGAGATGGGCAAAGTTTGCCTCAAAATTAAAGTTTCTTTTTTGGCAACCCTTTAGACAAAAAGAAAAATTACTGCAAATTAAGTTTTGTTTCTCAATAAAAAAGTGATTTTTTTTATAATTCAAAAAATTTCCTGTATACAATTTTTTTTGACCCGAATCGCTCTTGTTTCATTCAACGTTTGACATTTTCTTTGCCTCGAACTAAATTTTTATTTGAACTTTCCTCCTATTTTCTATGTTGCTGCGTGTGAGGGACGCGGAGCAGAGGTTTGGATGTTTATCAGCAGGCGACTCTGAGCCGGGCTTTTTATTTTATCAGCAATAGAGGTGAGGTCTAAATCAAACACACCGGTGCCGGCGGTGTTGCTGATAAGCGAAAAGCTCCTCTGTGGGGCGCGTCACCACACAGTTAGGAGCCCCAATTTGAGAGTTCGCCAAACTCGGAGAAAAAACAAGGGCCCTCTTTTGTCGGACGTGAATTAATGAAAACTTTATGGTCGCGCATTATATAATTTATAGAGTGTTTGAGCGTGCAGAGGAAAAGGTCCTTTTGCGCGACAGGACCGGCCGCTCTCATTATCTGCGCGCATTCCTTTGATCTGGGCGGGCCGCTGTATATTAATTTTGCATCCCGCAGGTAATAATGATGTGTGTGAGTATCGACCTGCGTGCTGGCCAGCAGACCGCCGCGAAGAATCCATCCTCGCCATCAAGCAACGGGCCCGAGTGTGCTCGTGAATAATTTACCTGGCGCCGAGTGTCGATTAAAGGAATAATTGCTTCAGTCACGAATTAAGCACAAGAAAATGAGAAAAACAGAAAAGTTGGAGACAAGGCAGGCCCGAAGTTGTTATAACTCCGAGAAAAACTTAAAATATTTCCACTGCCGGTTTGATAAGACAAGGCAAACTTTTTTCCATGAAAGATTTTTTGAATGAATTAAATTTTATCTTACAAAAGCTTTTTTTATCCTTTAAAAATGGTCACATTTATCCAGATATTCCATGTTGCTCTAATTTAACAATTTCACTTTCTTTTGATTCACTTGACAGATCCGTTATATCAGGAATAAAATTAATTAATGTAGGCATCTTAAATGCATTCAAGTAGTTTTGCATAATTTTTTGACACATAAAAATATGAATGATTTAATTTCAACAATTAATATAAGTCGCATGAGATTAAAAAATGTAATTTTCAATTAACAAATTCCTTCGTATTATTTATAAAGATAACTTTTCTTAATATTTAGAGCATCATCATCGTTCACGAATCGATTGGTGCACTCGGATGAAAAACAACTTTTCTCGGGCGACCGCAGGCAGTCGAGGGCGATTAGAAGAAGCAAACGCGAGATGACAGTTTTGACGCAACGACGGAAAACTGAGAAAAATAACCAGTCACGCCGTCTCATTTGAGATTGTGTCAGCAAACAAAAATGACGAAGACTTTTCACTCGCTCACCGGTGAGCAATCGAACCTCTTTATTTTATTATTTCTTCCTCCTATTTCTCCTTACGCGTTTCTCGGAAAAGAGGTTTCAGGTCGCGGTGGAGGGGCCCCTCTCCTCCTCCGCGGAAGGTGACGTCAGACCGGCGACGCCTGCGATTGGTGCACACCTGGCGTCTTCACCTCAGCATCTCTCTGCCGAGTGCCAACTGCTGCCGGCCCAACCGACTATTTTTCTTGTTTTCAAATGGACCAATTCAATTAAGCGCCAAATTACGGAATAAGGGCCATATCAAGTCTGCTGAACTTTGCCCCTCGAGTTATTCAATTTATTAATAAATTTAGTCTGGAAGGGACTGAGCCGAGAAGTGATTCACGACCGCTCGAGTGGCCGAAAATAAATTTTCATTATTTCGTTCGGGGAAAAATTCCTTCCGATTTTTCTTCGGCGAACGGGCAGAGTTCGGCAGAAATTTCCGTCACGCGCGCAACTTGCTGCTGTAAAAGTAGTTTTACGACTCGCTTGCGGCCACTGGAAAATAATAACAGGAAAATTCGCCGGTGCTAAAGTTTGGGAGAAACGGGCAATAAATGCAAAATATATAAACACAATACTTTCACTGTGAAATAAATAAATCGAAATAAATTGTAAAAATATCAGCAGCATTATTTACCTTTAATCAAATTGTACACATAATTTAAAATTCGACTTTTTAAATCAATATTGTTTATTGACGTTCTGAAATTAAATTTTAATAAACTGATTAATTAAATTAATTAAATCTTTTCGACTAAAAAAAAATTGAAATTTCAGGATAAATTTTTAATAACAAAATGTTTAATTAGAAACATTGTTGACACCTTGCAGTTCGAGTCAGGTGCACGTGGGGGTGGCAAAGATGGAGGGTAGGGGAAGGGTGGTGCAGGTAAAATTCGGAACCAAAAGGCTAAAAAATTCAGTGAATTTAAATTTGTTTAATTCCTTTCGCAATCGGCCCGATTTTTGAGGTGAGTCGACCGTTGGTCGGATGGTGATTCAGAGAGAAAAGTGGGATCGTGAGTGCGTGACGTCACTCTCAGGTCGCGGCGCTCGAGAGGTAAGAAAAGAAGATGGAATCCAACGTGGCTTACCTGCGGATGGAACGGCGTGCGCGGCGGCCAGCAGGGCGGCCAAACACACGAAGGCGGCCTTCATCGTCGTGCCATAACCTGCCGTTTGCAACGCCGACGAACACTTGTTGATGATGAACGTACGAGGAATTCGCCGGCCACTCTCTCACACGGCTTCGTCCTCTCGATCGCTCGCACTCTCACGGACCACTCTGTGCAAGGCTGAACACGAACTAACCGAACCGAGCGGGTTTCTGCTGTCTCGCCAGCACACGGCGATCGCTGCTCGCGCCGCCGATCGCAGCGCCCCTCTTGGTCCCCCGCGCGTACTCTTTAATGCTCGCTATTAAAAGAAAAAATAAATTTGGTGTATTCATTCACTGTATTCCTTTATTAAATTATCCTATCCATTAATATCATTAATCATCAAACTGAATTTATCGCCAAGTTTAAACTATTGTTTTAATTTATTCATAACCTTCAAGATGGTTGTGAGTTGTGAACGATTTAGTTGATAAAAATTTTTTTTGAATAAACAGAGAAAAAAGTAAAAACTATCAGCAATTATATTGTTTGAAACCAGAAAAAAATGAATAACTCTCACTATAATACAATTATTTAAAATTTAAAACCTCTCTGAAAAAGATTAATTAATCTTGATTCTTGTTCATACAAAAATTTAATGCACTTGGCTTATATTTATAGTAAATTAAAAGCTTTTTACTGGAGACATGTAAATTTGTGTATAATTAAAATAATTTAAAATTAATTGCACTAAATTTACTTCTTTAAGTTTGTAATTTGTTTTATTTTTTTGTTACAAAAAAAAACTATTTTTCTCAATTTAAACTTTAAAATGCTTTGGTGTAGAAGATTGTGTTTTGCAGTTTTGCACCTATTAGAGTTTTCGTAAACTTTTAATTTTCTTATAGATATCTATAAAATAGAGGTTTTCCAGCTACAAAGTAATTTTACCTGTAAAAACAAGAAAGTTTTAAATTTATATTCTTATGCAAACTTTTCGCAGAGCCTAGAACGCAATCTAGTGGTGCCCATTACTCACTTTTAGTATACTTAAATATTAACAGTTTTTGCTTAACAAAACCACAGCATATTATATATTTTTTGCCATTGAATTCTGGTACGTTGCTTCAGTCGTAAAAAGGAAAAACATCAATCATAAAAACGCAATATGTATACCAAATACAGTAATTTTAAGATCACCCCGAAATCTGGTCCGACGTAACAAAACGCTCGTTTTATTTCACTCTATATTTTTCTTTTATTAATGTTATTGCGTTCTGAGCGCATGAAAAGAAGGAAGGCCGCGACTTTTTATCTCAATAAATCCTGCGCTCAATTCTTATTGCCTCTCATCATAAAAAGCAGCAGCAGCAGCGGCGCAGCCTCAAAATAAAACTTGTTCCTCGGAAAATAATAAGTGAGACGTTCTATTATATTGCCGCACTACATGCAAACTTTTCTTTATCGCGTTGTCAATAATAAATTTTCCCACACGCTCGAGAGCCCAGCTGAGTGGAAAAAGCCGAGGTTATTATATACCCTTATCCTCCTGGCTGGAATTTCTTCTTCCGAAATATAAGGCAGGAACAAAAAACAGGATTTTTTTGCACGAAAGATATTCGAGCAATTTCTATTAGCCCGGATTTGCCCTCGAGAGCAGACTGGAGTGAGATCGAATCTATTCTGCGCATCTCTTGCATTTGGAAAATACGTGCGGGTTGAAAAAAGCAGAAAAGGAAAAGCATTTTTTTTTTGTCAATGGAATTAGAACACGGTGCCGCAGATCCAATCAGCAAAAGCTGGCGACTCGCTATGATTCTTCCAACGTGACACCAAATCAAATCTCCGCCGCAATATACCACTCTCGTCTGCTCCTTCGCTGTTCCGCCGAGATGCAATTATTCTTAAGGAGCTTGCTTGATCGAGCGTCCACTCGGAATTGGCCGAAACGATAATAGCACGTACAAAGGGGATGGTTATTTTCCTTTTTGCTCTCTTCCCACAAAATGTGAATTTTGCTAAAAGCGTTTTGAAAATATAAGATTTAAGTCCGAAGGTACTAAAAACGTTGTAAATATTTAATTTTATGGATGCTTTATGGCAAGTGCAGCTACGAGATTATTTAAGAGAGTAGCAATTTGTTCGTAAACACTGTGTAGTTGCTCTTTCAGTCGTTTAAATTTTTAATTCTATGAAAGTAGAGCCGCCTCTGAAAAGCAGAAGTGAGTGCGTAAATAGCAGAAAAAAGCGCATATTATATTTATTCAAATACACAAAAACTTGAGAATTCTTAAGGTGAAGAAAATTTATTCAACAAATACTGACATGCAGAAAATATTAAAATTCAAAATAAATGCAGTCTCCAATATTTACCTAAAACTTTAAAGACATTTAAATTTTAATTAATTTAACCATTTTTAAAATAAGATTGATATACTTAATATTTAGATTCCCAACTGAAATCATCATCGCGTGGACCAAATTTAAGGATATGCCAGCAAAAAATGATGATTGTTTAAATAAAGTTGAACCCAAAAACAAAAAAAAACAAAATTAATTGGGTGGTGCCTTCTGTACCACCAATAAAGGGCACAGGCCGACAAGACTTTGTCTTGGCCTGACCCTAATAAAAAAAAAAAAAAAAAAAAAAATAGTAAATATTTTAGCTGAAATTTATAATTTATTGACATAATTAATATCACAGAGGAAATCACTGCACGTTACAAGATACATTTTGATCAGAATGTCAAAGTGAATACAATATATTTAATCTCATTAAGAGAAGAAAGAAAAATACAGATTATTATAATATTAAATAATTTTTAAGAAATAAAAAAAATCTAACAATAATAAAAATAAACTAGAACATTTCTTATAACAGGTCTTTTCAAAATGTTAAAAATGTCAAAATTTTTAATGCAGTCCATTGTGGCAGAACATTGCCGCAGTTGAAATGGATTTGTTGTGTAGAGAAATCGTCCAAGTGGAAAATGGGCCTCTGACAATTAGAGCGTTGTACTGTATATTATCAAAGAAATCCGTCGCTTTATTTTATATCACGTGAAAATCTGTCATTTACGCGCAGGTAAGTGTGCGTGCGGGCATTGTTTTCAAATTTTTTTAATTTCGTCCGCGCAGCAATGTGTGAGAACTCGGGTACTCACTTCCGTCGAACAAAAAATATCACAAGTTAGTCACGCCATGCTGTCTCTCGCTGCACGCTCATTTATTTTACGACAAACAGCCAGTCAATTACCGGCGCTGCATTTGTTATTTTAATGGGCGCACGCGTTTATTTTTTCAACGCCTCAAACCTAGCATTTAAAATATCCCTCTGTTCGCCTCTCAACGCCCTCAGAGGGGTGAGAACTGGCAACTAGAGACGCATTAAAAGAACAGGGTGCATTAATTGGTTTACAGTTTCCAAATGATAAAGATTTCTTTTTGGTTTACTAAGGAATTTTATTTTACTGCAGCACTAAACAAGTTTCATTTAATGATCTCACATTAAATAATGTAAGCAATTATATCTACAAAATAATTTATTATCTTCATTAAGTTGGAGTTTAATTACCTGGAAATTACCTTTTGGTATAGAAATCATTAATTCAAAACAAATATCACAATAAATTTTAAACTTTTTTCACCAATTTGTATATTTTTTAAACTTATAATTTTATTTTATAATATAAATTACATTAAATAAAAAAATTTTTGTGTAAAATGAGAATAATTTGAGAAATTTTAACAAAGTAAATTTAAATTAAGTACAGGAATAAGAAACACATAAAACAACTTCAGTTTTATTTTATGAGTTATTTCGTTATTGCAGATATTTTTAAACACAAACTTTTCTCATAACGTTTTCCCACATCATCTATAATTAGCATCAGTGCCTCTTCAAACTTTTGAGAAGCTAAACTGGTCTGGATTTTAATGATTAGATTATACGCCTCTCCGCCTATGGGTCTAATGCACTTAACGCTCGCAACTCGTCCTCGGCATTTATTATTTTCCAGAGCAGTGGCCGCGGAAAATTTCCATCGGACGCCTTTATTTTCACGTGTGTAATTGTATTCGTGATTTCTGTTTCACCCGAAGTAATAAATATTTCACGGCACGCGCCAGCAGCCCTCCTCTTTCTCTCTGCGGCGCGCATGTGTCTGCCGAGAGAGGACAATTCAATTTTTAATGCATTAAATATGAAAAAGCGGACCAGAAAATTCGGCTGCTGTGTGCGCGGAATTTAACCACGCGCTTTGTGCCAACAAAGTCTGCAACTTCACAGCCGGAAAGAGAAAAACAGAAACACAGGCGCACTTAGCTTTCTCCGACTCGAAAATTCATACATATGTGTGAGAGAGAGCGAGTAATAAGCCTGGCGCGCAAGAGAATCCCTTTGACACATCCCGTGATAATTTATTCGCTTTATACATCTTCAAAATTGCAGCGCCTTTTGCCACTGGAATGTATTTATTGCTTATATAAACATGTAGAAACTCCCCAAAATAATAAACTTCACACAAAGTTTTGGAGCTCGATTGTGAAAAAAGCGTGTGAAAGTTTTGAATTTTTTAATATTTAAATTTGAGCATTTGAGCTCCTGTGAGTTTATTTGTGGATCAGAAAAATCTTTTCAGAACAAATTTAATGTAAAATGGCATATCTATAATCAATTTTCCTTTTTTTTCGTCAAAATAAAAAGCTAATAGTGTGTATTATAATGTTTATTTCTAATCCTGGTTCAAGAATTAAAATTTTCACATGTATTTTCTCATTTCAATTTTACATTCTTTTACAGGTGCTCATACATATTATTTAATTATCATAAATTAGCAGCATAAATTTTTTAAGCAAACTGCAAACTGCAGTAAAGCGTGCGTGATATTGATGTGAAACAGCTTAAAATGCCCATAATACTGAAAATCAATTAAGCGAACATAAAAACTGATAAAAACGATAATATTTATTTTCATAATACTATAATATTATCATGATTAATGAAACAATTCTTAAAAATAATAGAAAAAATATAATAAACTCTAATCATGAAATTGATAAAACTTTGATTGAGAACGATCATTATTGAGAATTAAGGTTTTGAATTGAAACCTGTCAACCCAGCGTTTCAATTCATCAAACGTAAAGTAAAATAAAATTGTTCTTAAATAAAAAAAAATAATAATATAAATAAAATTGTTTTTCTCAGGCGACGTATCAATCCAAATTTCTGTAAGTCGCAAACGACAGTATGTATTCCAAGGCGCATCTATACAGCATCTCGAATTGCTCCTAAAATAAAGGGCTTTTATAATTGCATTTGAAATTAATTTAGTTACTAGTTTTGACACAAAGTCAGGCCTGACACTCCTCACTGCTCGCACTGCCGAGGCCACGTCTACGTCATGTTCCATTTTTATTTTTTCTAGAATAATACTGAGCGCTACTATAGCGCCGCAAGCCATAACTCCATCGCTAGTATCAATAATAATTAACCTTAATTTGTATAAAAATATTTTTCATACTGGCAGATCAAAACAGTAGGCGCATCGTGGAGGTTGAATTCTTCATCTTCGCACAGTTTTACGAGTTTGCCTAGCTTTGGAACCGTCAAGAATTCGGCTGGCCACCCAACAAAGCAAACAACTTCAACTACCCAGTTGTCGTAGCCCTTTATATTATTGCAGAAAAATCAAAATGAACAATTAAGTTTCCATAAATACGAGATATACCTTTTTTATGTCAACCGTGAGAGTTTGGTAATTATTTTTCACTGCTTTACTCTGGAGACCAACTGAAAACCCCACGCCTGTCAGGGGACTGCTTACATTGCACGGAAGAAATATCGGCTACAACAAGTTTTTGTAGCGGGAAAAATATTATTAAAATATATAATATGAAATTAAAGTCAAACAATAATTATTTTGAAAAATTGAAACCGGGCGAACCTCGTTGCAAAGAAAAAATGAAAAAATACAGGACAACTGACCCCAAAGGCGACCTGCGGTCTGCTGGTACTTTAAAACCTAGGGTTTCTTGTGTCCAATTAAAACTAAGTGGGAGGAATTTTGAAAAATTAAAAATAAAATAGGGAGAATTTAATTTAAATAAACAAAAATTGCAGAAATTAATTAATTTAAATAATTTGTAGTGCGAGAAAAACGTTGTATTGGAAGAATATACCTCGTTTGGCTCTGCTTCATTAAGAACTATAACGCTTTTGACTCTTTGCTGGTAAACCATGAGCCAGAAGTCGCTGACTGTGTCACTCAATGGGACTTGTGTGGCTATGAATGCGTTTTTTCGCTTGTATCCGTCCACGTAAACAGCATTTATGAAAGTATTCTGGCAACAAAAAACGTCCTCAGGCACCAACCGTACATATCGCAGGGGTACTGGATATATCCGTAAAATTATTTGTTATGAAATTTTATCAATATACAATCCATACATGCTTGAAGCTCCGGCTTCCTGCATTTTTCTGGGATGCGGTCACTATCCCTAATTTCCATTCTACTCCAATCTTTGGCACAGATTTCATTCAATTGATGCAGTTGAGTTTTCAATAATTTATGTCCGTTTTGCTTAAATAATGTTTATGCAATAATATTCTTATTTCAATCAGTAATATTGGCAAAGTTACCAGTAATTTGCCTAATTCAACTTTGAACTTTTTGCATGGAATTGCAAGTTTTGGAATGCACAGAGCTTCATAGAGAACAAAGTGGGCAAAAATGTACTGTGGCTGAAAATTATATGGATAACAATTTACGTAGTTCTCAACATAGCAAAGAGATTATCAAATTGAGAGAGTCCTTGTTAAATAAATTTGTATTTTAATATTTTTTTCTGGCGAGCATTAAAAAATTTATGTCTTTTGATAATTTGAAAGCATAACTGTTATATTTTTTGCCGGTTTTTCGCATCTCTTCTTAAAATAATAATTATTTTGATTTAGTTTTATAAATTATTTATTATTTCATTATAAAGAATGCGATGCAATGTCAAAAATATTAAAGAACTCTCTTAATTGTTGGAGCTTTTTGCAAACTAACCACTTTTTTGGAATATATTAAAGTACATCGAATTTTTATTACCTCAGTTTCTACCAAATTAGCTCTTTGTCGTCTCATCTCCTTGAATGCGCCACAAGGGTTCAAGTGACCCTGGCTTTTCGCCATTCGCAAGCATGCGTCGATCATAATGTATGCGCCTGTTCGACCCTCACCAGAGCTACATCCAATATTTATTTTATTTTTCAATAAAACAATGAATATGTGATTGATTTTATAACCTGCAGTGAACAATCATGGGTACGTCCATTGAGATTTTTAAAACATTTTCAACAAAAATAGCTGTTGACTGTGCGTTAAATGGAATCCCGTGATCCGGCCATACCGTGTAATGCATTTGCGTAATCTGCAAAAAGGTTGGTTATATATGAACAAGACGCCTTATACTAGCTATAAAAGATAATTAGTACTAATCATTTTACCTTGCGATTGATTGACCCATTTGTCACGCTCAGTGTTCGTTTAAAAAAGTCGAGAGAAACGATTTCGTCGATGTTTCGGATTTCCAAACTACCAATCGTAACCACTTCAAATATTTCTGGCCAGTATTTAGCACATTTCACCTTAAATGAAATGGTTTTATTTACAATTTTTTTTTTTAATAATTCAAATATCTCACCTCCCCGTTCTCCGTCAAATTAGCTAACATGACAATCATGGTGGCTTTTTCTTGCCACACCATTCTCCAGAAATCTTTAACTGTTTGCTCTAGGGGCCCTTGAGTAGCCACATATTTATTTCCCAGTACCTAGATAGCAATTCGCAAATAAAAAATCTGTTTTTATTTTTGTATTCTAAAAGAAATTTAATTTAAAAAAAAAAAATCCACCCCAACCGCCCGAAATTCAAAATAATATTCCTCAAAATCCTCAAAAGTAATAATGAAAAAGCTGTTTTTTTTTGTTAAGCCTTAATGTATTTTTGTTCAAAACTATGGAAAAGAAACTAAATATTACCCTGACGTGATTTGCATTGATGTATCCATTCTTTGCGGTTTTTTTTCCTTCAATGATTTTAGTTTGAAGACAAACTCGCGTCTCGTCGTATGCTGGGATCACGCCATCCCTGTTCTTCTTTTTGTTTTCTTCAGACGAACCAATATTTATAGGCATAATTTGACCTCTTGGAGAGGCCTAAAAGATTTTATTGGGCTGTATTCAACAGAACGTTAAAATAAAATATTTCTTACGCGGAATTGCTCGCACAAATTTTCAGATTGTAATTCGGTAGCAAAATAATCTGCATATTCTTCAATTGTGACTGTGTTCCCAAAATTTTTAAGTGATGTCTGCTCATTCATGGTTATTTTAGATTTAACCATCACTTCTAAATATAGACAATATCAACTTCAGCACCTTCTTATTATGATTTTGAAACTCTTACCAAGTGGAATTGCATATTCAGGTTCAGACTCAAGGTTTCTTGATAAAAGTTTATAGAGGAGGAATTTCTTACGCAACACGATAATCAAGAACAAAATTACGATGACTAATATTCCAATTAAAAAATAATAAATAATTCCATTATTTTCTTCAATTGCTCCTGAAAATAATATCATTGTTCAAATATTTCATTTAATTAAACATTTTCTGTAATTTAAATGCAGCAAAAAATTGTTCAGGATCAATCTGTATAGCAATTTTGTCAACTTTGTTGATTTAGTTCATATTAATTGAATCTGACAAGGAGCAATTAAATAATAATTAAGTACAAATATTTCAGAAACCTTCCTGACAATTTGGAACAATTAGTCCCTCGCGTGCGCACCCCTTTAAGCAATGCGCGTTTGTTACATTATAAAGTTCATCCTTGCAATTCGACGGGTCCAATTTTTCTTTGCAGTTCAACCCGTATTGCCCTTTCTTGCACTCTATAATTATTAATTAAATCCATCTCGTCAATGCCAAATTAGAATACAAACCAGAGGTGCACATTGGTGGTTGCATTCCAATAAACCTGCAGCCCTGTTTGCAGTAACCGGTTGCTTTTTCATATCCTCCGAATTCACCTTCCCCAGAACAACGTCCTTGGACCTCACCTGGCTCCTCATTACAGTTAATGCCAATTTTTCCATCTCGGCATTCTTTTTCATAGCAATTATTAAGGTTTCTCAATAATTATCCAAAATGTGATTTTCTTACCTTCCTCACAGTCTGGAAACTGCAATCCCGGCTTTTCGCACGTTTCCCTGCATTGTCCATTTACCTTTGAGTAATTACCATATTTTCCACCACCTGAGCACTTCTTTTCATTTAGTTGCTCCTCGCAGTGGTTCCCAAACTTTCCTCCATCACATTCTTAATTTTCATTAAAACGAAAAACGAATTTACTAGAAAAATTGACATTTTTAATTCTATACCTTTTTCACACCAAGGAAATTCAAGCCCTGGCTCTTGGCAGGAAACTGAACAATTCCCTGAGTCACGACTGTAGTTTCCGAAATTTCCATCGCCTGAGCATTTACCTTCTTTTAATTTTTGTTGGCAATGTTGTCCAAATGTTCCTTCTTCACATTCTTAAAATTCACTAACAATGACATTTTTGAATATCAAATTTTTGCTTAAAATTACCGTTTTCACACCATGGATATTGGAATCCTGGTTCTGCGCAGGAGAAATTACAATTGCCAGAATCGCGGCTGTAATTTCCGAAATTACCAGCACCAGAGCATTTTTTCAATTTGGTTAAATTTTGTCTACAATCCTGTCCAAATTTACCCTCTTCACATTCTTGATAAGCAAAAATTTATTATATTTTTTTTTTTTCAAAATTTAATATAATTACCTTTTTCACACCAAGGAAATTCAAAACCGGGCTCATTGCAGGAAATTTTGCAGTTCCCCGATTCACGAATGTAATTTCCAAATTTTCCATGACCGGAGCATTTTTTGACCTTGCTTAAAGTTTTGTTGCAGTGATGCCCATAAGTTCCATTTTCACATTCTTGATGCATAAAAAAAACACTTAGTATTTTAAATTTAAAAATAACATTTTAATAAATAACCTTTTTCACACCATGGAAATTCGAACCCTGGATCCTTACAAGAAACTGAACAATTCCCTGAGTCACGACTGTAATTTCCATAATTTCCGCCACCAGAGCATTTATTTAATTTGGTTAAAGTTCTCTGGCAATCTTGTCCAAATTTTCCTTCCTCGCATGCTAAAATATTATTGCTTTCTACCAGCCTTAAAATATTACATTTTATTGATTTACGGTCAGTGCATTTTGGCAATTTATATCCTAATTGAGCGCATTTTTTGCAATCACCAGTTTTCTTATCATAATTTCCTACGCTCTGTTCTGCACATGAATTAGGTGAGAGTTTAGATAAACAGTGTTTTCCATAAGATCCATTTTGACAGTCTGATAATTTTTTTAATAGTTATTATCTTTAGATTCTGGGCTTGTTAATACAAACCTTTCTCACATTCAGGGTGCTCAACTCCATGATACAAACAATCCCCATTGCATACACCCGTATAAGGATTGTAGTTTCCAAATTTAAAATTACCAACGCATTTTCTCTCTCCCAATTTTTTGCTGCAGTTTAATCCAAAAGATCCATTTATGCAATCTATAGTTATAAAAATATGAATTTAATTTGTCGTATCAAAATTTTGACTCACGAGAAACACAAGCAGGTGGATAAAAGCCAGGTTTAGCGCAGCCTTGAGTGCAATTGCCCGTTTCCTTATTATAAGCACCATATGGCATCGGACCAGCACATTTACCAGTTTTCATAACCCCAGAACAATTTAATCCATACCTCCCTTGGTCACAAGCTAGGTAGGATATAAACGTCAAATTAAAAAAAAAAATGTGAATTGAATAAAATTAATTATCAAATAAAGTAATATTACGTTTTTCACACTCTGGAAATTTGAGTCCGGATTTAGCGCAGCTTTTTTTGCAATTTCCTGTATCGCGATGGTAGTTGCCTGAGCATTTTTCACTTTGCTTTTGTTTGCAGTCCTCACCAAAATATCCCTCGTCACAGTCTAAGAAGAATAAAAGTTTCAAAATGTGTCCAATAAGCTAACAAATTAATCGGACCATGTTCACATTTTGAAGGTTTTTTGCCCTTGAATTTGCAACTCTTGCAGTCACCATTAGATTTTGAGTAATCACCATAAGGGTCTTGGCCTGCGCAAACATTTTGTTTCAGTTGAATCTTGCAATTTTGTCCGTATTTTCCGTTTCTGCATTCTATAAAATATAAAAGGTAAAGAAATCGTTGTTCTTTGTAGAAACAAACCATGCTCGCATGAAGGGAATTCAAAGCCTACTCTTGCACAATCCCACTTGCAGTTGCCTGTGGCGCTGTCATAATCGCCATATTTTCCTTGACCCGAGCATTTGCCTGATTTAAGCTGTTTGCTGCAGTTTGGTCCAAATGTTCCATTAGTACAGGCTGAAAATTTTTAGAGTTTTAAAATATTTTAATCGAAAGAATAAAGAAGGCAATTTTTTTACATGTATTGCAATTTGGTGGTCGTTTGCCATTCTGTTTGCAGCCGTTCAAGCATTGCCCAGTAGATTTGTTGTATTCTCCGTATTCACCGGAGCCTGAGCATGAATATTTTAAGCGCTTTTCTTCACAATTGGATCCAAAATCTCCATATTCACATTCTAAAGAAAGCGCTTCAAATTTAGAAATGTTCAAAACTACTCAAAAATATCCACCGTCTATGCACTGTGGAGGTTTTAATCCTGCTTTTGAGCATCCGTCTATGCAATTTCCATTCAACTTGTTGTAACTTCCGAAATAACCATCGCCCCTGCATTTACCACTTGGCTGTTCTTGCTTGCAATTTTTCCCAAATTTTCCGTCATAGCAATCTAATGATATTTAAATCTAAATTCTAAATGCCAGAGGATACAGATTTCTACCTGAATTACATAAAGGTGGCTGTTTTCCAATAAATTTGCAGCCTTTCAAGCACTGCCCTGTAGTTTTATTGTATTCACCGTAATCGCCAGGGCCTGAGCAACCTTTTTGACATCTTTCTTCACAATTGATTCCAAAAGCTCCGTCATCACATTCTATTATTCAAAAAAAAGAAACCTCTAAATTTCTCAAGCTACATTTAACGATCAAAATACTAAACCTTTTGAGCACTGTGGGGGTTGAAATGCTCGAGCACAGCCATCTATGCAATTACCATTACCCTTATTGTAATTTCCATAAGATCCACTACCCTTGCATTTACCAAATGGCTGGTCTTGGGTGCAATTTGCACCAAATTTTCCATCATCGCAATCTAAATAGAAAATTGATAGCAATCAATAAATTATTTATGCCTTTGCTAATTGAAGACCTCGATCACAATAAGGGGGCTGTTGGCCACTGAATTCGCATCCAGATAAGCACACGCCAGTTGTTTTATTATAATCTCCATTGCAACTTCTATTTTGAGGTAGTTGAAAGGCGCAGTCTGGGCCATAGGAGCGATCCCGGCAGGCTGAGAGCGTCAATAATATTTATTTCATTATATAAATGAAGTCATTAGTCAAACGTTTTGCACAATCTGGTGGCTGAAAACCGTGCAGTTCACACAAACCACACTTTCCCGTGTGCACATTTAAATGGTCTCCAGGGCAATTTACTTCAGATAGGAGGTCGCAGTTTGGTCCATACTCTTTGTCTCTGCATTCTTTCGTATTTTTTGTTTGTTTCATTTTACAAAAAATAAAAATTAAATAAAAACCATTCATTACTTTCAATGCATTTTCTGTTTTGTCTTTTGAATCCAGAAATGCAGAAGCAGCCAGTTGTGTCGCACGCCTCGATGTTGCTGCAATTATCACTTCCCAACTTTTGGCAAATAGTTTCTCTATCTTTTCCAGACTTCAAGACTGAGAATTAAATTATTTACTTTTTAATGAAAAAAAAAATAAAGAAACATAAAAAGCAGAACTCACCAAGTTTTTCAATTTTTTCCGATGTTTTGTTTGTTAATATTGTGTTAATTTGATCTAGATTCGAACAGGAAAGCAAATTTTTTTCTCGTGAAGATATCATGAAGCCTGAAATAAAATGTTTTTAAGTTAAAAGAAAAAACGTCTTTTATATTGATTACCATGCCCAAAAGTTTCGCTGCTTAGCAAAGATATGTGACCTATGCAAATTTTTTCAAACTCGCGGAGTTGAAAAAAGAGACTCGCTTTTTTAATTGTCAGATTCACGAGCAAAATTGTTGCCGTTTGCCACTTTCCTTCTGCGTTAGTTGGAAGCTTTGTTGGTTGCCATGGATTTCGATCAGATGAAGTGTGCACATAAATAGTGTCACTTGTTTTGTTTTTTACATAATAAGTCAAACTTATTGCGGCTGCGGTCTGTTCTTGTTTGATTTCTGAAGTGAACGTGGTTTGATTTTGTCCTTTTTCAATGTAATTATCTTAAAAAATTAAATAAGGCGTAATTTTTTGAAAATAAAAAAAAACTTGTGAATTAAACTCACACTTATGAATCCTGAAGTATCCCACATCTTCATGTGTCTTGAAGGCAACAAAATTGAATATTTCATGTGAGCTAAATGATTTTTTAATATGTACCACTTTGAACTCTATAATTCCAATTGCTTACTTATTCCCAGAACATTCAAGCTTCCAGTTTTTGTTCATCACTGAGACAGAAAGTTTTTTTAAAGTTGTCGGTGACTTGAGCGGGTCCATTTCATATTCAACCGTAACAGTAGCCCAAGCGTTACCTCCGTTGAATATATTTTCATTTACCTGCGTTTAAAAAATGTTATTGCGTGTTAACTGTCCGCTTCATCATTATGGCACACTAACCTTTTCCGCAAGTATAGTGCAAGTTTTACTGTTCAATAAATTTGTACAGTAGCGAATGCAAGACATGTGATGATTTCCCCATCCATCCAGGACAATTTGAAACCCAGGTTGAATTTTCAGGTTTTCATGTTTTGACAGTGATATATAAGCACTTTGATAGGTCAAAACTGAGTAATGAAACCTTCCTTGGCTTTTATTAGTCCTCATTCTGGTCCAATTTGTGAAATCGCCACCCCCACAGGTAACAATTTCTTTGAACGCTAGTTTTTAAAATAAATTAGCAGCACGTGATTTCAATAAGTTTCATATAGAAGTCTGTTTTGATATTCAAATAATGCAATGGCCAAAAACCATAAATCTAATATTTTTTGGAAAAATTTTAATTCATATTATCAAGCCTTTGTTTTATGTTTTGAAAGATGTGAGTTTTGATCAAAAAAGCTATAATTTAAAAAAATGGTCGTTTTTTGCATATTTATTATAGAACTGCTTGACTTGAAAATTTTCTTGGTGTCATATGTACTTTAACTTACAGTTCCAACGATGGTCAAGCACGGGCTCAAATTCGTCAAACCAGTCTCCATCAACCAAATTGGTTTTTAGCTCAAAATGATATGTTGTCCAATTTCCGCAACCATTGGCGCTCACCAAGTTGCAATCATTTATCAACCCATTAGCAATGAATGTCTCGTCGGTTGGTTTTGGGCAGCCTTATTTGGGAAAATGGCCGAGCAGGAAAAATTATTCAGAAATAGAATGAGATCAAACAACATAATATTAGCTTTAACGAAATGTCTTAATTTTTCACACGGACAGGGCGAGTTCCTGTAGTTTATTCACTTTATTCAAAAAAAAAATTTACATTTATTTTATATTGATAAAAAGAACTATTTTATATAAATATTAATAAATAATAAAAGAATTTCAGAGCCCCATATTATATTTTTTTTTTTTTACATTTAGAGATTTGATTGAATTATATAAAATAATACACTTATGTGATTTGTTAAATGAATCGTGGTAAATTACCTTTTTTTACATTACGTAGAAACACCATTGTGGGTCCATTGTTGTACTCTGAGTCGGTATAACAAATTCCATTTTTATTCATAATATCATTTTTGATAAAGTGAACCACGCCTAGAAATAAAAGTCCTTACATTGCAAAAAATGTAAAAAAAAAAAAAATCGAAAAAAGTTTAGACACTTAAAATTATGAAATAAAAGTAATGGAGAGAAAATTTAAAAAAATAAAATAAAAATTGAAGCGAACCTTGTATAATTGCTGGTAAATACAGTAGTATAAAAATTGATTTCTTCCAATCCATAGCTTGATTCCACGCTTCACTACAGAGTCTCCTAACTTGCAATTATCGCGTCGTGAACACTACGGAAAATTAACTAAAATTGAACAAGGAAATGTAGATTTCATTACTACTGATAGCTTATCACTGGCAAGCTTGGCGCTTTTTTATCCGTAAACCACAAAATAACCGAAACTACTTATCCTATTTAATTTCTGCTTTTTGAAAATCATTGGTTTTTTTTATTAAAGAAATTACTGTACTTTTAGAAATTAAAATTACTTGATCCTGTGGCATACAGATCATAATAATACAGGTTGTGTAATTTTTTGAAGTTTTACTGGTTTCACTGTTCATTTTTTATATTATTATAATAATTTTAACCACACACGCATGTTGTGGAACTATTACAATCGCAATCATAGCAATAATATTATTTAATATATTATATTACAATATCATGTTTTGCACTAACCCGCAGTTTTATATCCTTTGTAAGTATAACTTGTACATTTGGAAAGAAATAAAAAAAGATGTGATTTTTGCAATAAGATAATTATTTATGGGTTAAGTATATTTTATCTGATTTTCATAATATTTTTTATACAACTCTCGCTGGATCTGTTGGTTTTAGTTTGACTGTCAAGCCGGTTGTTTAATCTCCATTGCAACTTCTATTTTGAGGTAGTTGAAAGGCGCAGTCTGGGCCATAGGAGCGATCTCGGCACCCTGTAGTATTGAAACTGTCTTAATTAAATATGCTCATTTGAAAGGAAAAGACTTCAAATTTGTATGCATCATGAAATAATTTGAGGTATCTAACCTTTTACTAATAAGATTGGTAGAACTAATAAGAAAATTAAAATTTTCCTATTCATGGTGAGATCCCATCATTTGTTTAAACCTCATAGAACAACTAAGGAGAGAATGGAGTCCAAGAAGGAAATCTGAAAAAAGAAGGAATTTTTCTAATCTTAATCTTGGCTTCAAACTTACTTGATAGTATAATCGTTAACAGAGGCGATAGCTCACCATAACATTAATAAAAAAAAACTTCTTCATTTTTAATTTTTTTGCAAAAGGTATATAAAATTTTGTTATGAACGTAATTTGTCATTTTGAAACATTAGTGGTAATGGTAATCGCAATAATTAATGATCAGATTTATTATCACAACATTATTGACCTACATTGTGAGGAAAAGCACAACAAAAAGTATTTAAAGTAAACGCTGCACCCCAGATAATAAGCGGTAATCACCAAAAACTCAACGTTTGCAGGGTCGGAAACGGGTAGTTCCTTTATGGTGTATTTTTCATATGTCACTTGCTCGATTGGTGATAGTGCATGGGGTGAATTAAATAAAAAGCCATCGACGGACATACGCAAAAAGCGTGCGTTTCGGATGAGAGGTGGCGCGATAATACTCGAAAGGGCGTAATGAGTTCTCAGAATATTTCGGGACACACGCCGAGAGCTGTTTGTAATATGAACATGCAGCCAGTTGAACATTAGGCCAAGAGAAAGCCGTACTACACATTATGGAGTGTAATTCTCTCTGCTGGCGCTGCTCTCTCGTTGAATATAAATACACACACGACGCTTAATGGCATGCGATTAGGGGCCGCGGCATTAAGATGAACAGATACGCACACCAAGCTTTGTTTCTCTTGGAAATGTGCGCGGCCGATGCATTTTGAGGGCGCCTCTCGCTCCGTTTTCTATTTTCGGCGCTGATCAGACCACCCCACACGGTCTAATCATTGCCCCCCAAACAGCTGGAAACATTGGATTCCTTCCTCAACCGGAGATGTTTAGGGATGACTTTGATTTTATTCCAATTTGCGTGTCTAGATTACGTTATTTATTTGTGGCCCTTGGAATTCATTTAGAGTTTTATTTGAATGATTTCATTAATACCCAGAAAATTTTAGGAAGAAAACAATAATAAACTAATAATCAAAATTAAAGTTGAAGTTAAATATGTATGAAAGTTGTAGATAAATTGTTTGCTAGAATTAAAACTTACATATGTATGTGAGAATGGCTTGATTTTAAACTGAAAACCAAAATACAATTCCTTATTTGGCTATAATTCTTTTCATATCATCTAAAATCCCAAACATTGATAAAAAGAAGTAAATTTAAGAAAAATATTGATATGGCATGTAATTATTTAACCTCACGAAGGGCTGCAATTTTCAAGTTTTTCGCAGATATGATAAATAAATCTTGTTAATTTGGAAACTTTTCCGCAGTAGTGTTTTCGCTACTCTTGTTTGTCGTTCCGCGGAGAGAATGAGCAAAGGGGTACATACAACAAATCATCGGGCAGGGTGAAATTTATAAGCGCGAGATGATTAACTGCGCGGCGCCAGAGAATGAGAAATAAAGCAGAGAACGAAAAGGCTTAATCTCTTCAGCGGCTCCACCGCCAGTAATTATAATTCCGCACAAAGTGTGCAGCGCGCGAGAGAGAGAGCAAAGGGGCGGAAGGCAAGTTTGAAAAGTTACAGCTCCGGAATAATAATTGCGCCCGCTGTCCATTTTAATTAAGAAGGGCAAGGCAGCGCCCAGTTGATATAACGCACGGAGCTGCGTAAAAAGTGCGTAGTTTGGTGGGGCAAAACTATAAAAGAATCAAGAGTTTTCCAAACTGAAAAGTAAAGAAAAGGTTGGAAATTTGAATAAAAACCAAAATGTTTTAGGGCCACATCTCAGCAGTAATTCAAATTTTTTTATCAGCTATAACTACTATAAGCATTTTTTTTTTAAGGAAAAACATTTTAGGAACACTAATAATTTTTTATTTAAAAAAGGGATGCAAATTTAATTCCATACGTCTTTCAAAGTTTTCTTACAAATTACGAGAAAAATCCCTTCTAATCTCCGATCAAGATAAATTAGAATGTGAATACACAATGCACACTATTTTAAATATTATTTAATTTATTTGAATCAATTATATGATTCTTTTCTGATCCACATGGGGCAACTACATTTGAATTTGGAAAACTCGGCAATACGCAACGAAAAATTTTTATACACCAAACAATTATTTGCGTGTGCAGTGAAGCTTTAGGCACAGTGAAACAAAAAATACGCACAGCAATAATAATTATAACCGGACAATTCTAAAATAATCTTTTTCCTCTTTGCATTGGCAAACGACCAAAGGGCGCCACACTCGCACACTAATTAAAAATACGTTGCATTACTCGCGTGACTTTTTAATTCCGCGGGCGGCCGGGGAAAAACACAAACCAGCAATTTCCATGTTGGAATAATAAGCGGCGCCGCCAGCAGACAATTCAATTTTTCACTCGGCAGAGCGTCATTAACACGCATTTCGCATGCTTTTTCGCTTTTGACCTTGGCGCGCAAAGGGTCAGGTATGCGCTCACTGTGATTCGCCAGAAAGGAAATTAATCCTGGACAAATTCGCATTCTCTCATTAAAAATAATTAACGAAGCCTTTGTTCGGGCAAACTCCAGTGCGCAAATCGGAACTGTGTGTTTGCGCTCTTCCAATTTGCGAAAATTCCAACATAAACTTCGGCAAGAGATACGTACACATGTTTGCAATTAGACAGTTTTCGCTTTCTATTTGCACTGCAGCCGCAAATTAATAGGCGCTCGCCGGGCGCCTTCATTAAAATTTGCAAACGAAACACCAAATGCATTTTCGCTCTCTTAATTAATTCCACGGCTCGGCGCGCTGCTGGATTTATCTCGAAGCAGCAGTTCAATCCATTTGGGGTTAGCAACTGCTGATGAAATTGTTTCCAGGAGCAATAACGGCTCCAGAGACTTTTATCTTCAACGCAAGATTCGCCTACGTTGGTTGCGGCGCCGAGAGCGAAAAATTAAACTCGTTTCTTATTTGTTTTGCGATTTTCACTTCTGCGTGGCCGTCTCTCGCACATTTAATAATTCCGAGTTGTGTTTCAATATTTGCCGGCGCCGTGCAAAGTTTCCGTTTGGAGAACAGATACGCAAATTAAACCACACGCTACATTTTATATACAAACGGCAATATAGTTTCAGCACACTGTTGCATAAATTTAATGTAACAAACGGACCGAGAGGAAATATTATCAAACATTGCGAATATGTATGTGCGTAGAAAGCATTTGTAATAAAAATTGCAAACATAATTCAGAGCGCAATTTGTAAAAAAAAAAATTAAATGTTTTTAAATAAAATTAAAATTGCAATTGGAATTACAAAAAATTCCATGCAATTTCAAAAGATTTAAATTTCCCATCGACAGAAGTAAAAATTTTAGTTGATAAGAGGGAATTTATTAGGATCAAAATTAAGGCAATTCTCCTTGTGAATTCATCCAAATTAATTAAACAAGAAAAAAATTAGCATTGATTCAAAATGTGCTTTTTAAGTTCTGATGCTTTAAAAATATTTTTTTTCAAACAAGTTTTTTTCCTCATATTTTTTTACCAAAATATTTTCTACAGTTTTAATTTAAAAATGAAATGCCTGCAATTATAGATTTTATAGCAAATTTTTTTTAAATCACATTTTTTTTTGTACAGATATATTGAAATAACGAAAAACATCTTTCATCAAATCAATGCATCAAAATTAAATGGAAAACTAAAATGAATTTTTAAATATTTTTTGTTTAATTTTATAAAGATTAAAAAAATTTCTTTCAAAGACACTCTCAGCACAATTGCTCTTCCACTTATTTTGCATGAATGATAACAATTTTTTAAAGATCAATGAAAGGTCAAAGTGATGTCCATCAGGGTGGAAATTGCGTATGTATGTGTTGCTAATGGATTCCGGTCAGAACGTAAGTGGAACAAGGTGAAGTAGGAAAAGCAGCGCAGTGTTCCCTTTGAGATGGTTATATTCCAGGGTGAAACCAGCTCATTCAAAAGTTATTAAAACGGTGCCAAGCGCCTGCCTGTTTTGCCGGCTGGCCTTTTATTTTGCAAATTTCACCCTCGCCGGCTGCTCTTTCTCTCCTGCAGCTCCTCTGCTGTGTTATTTTTCATTTCGGCACGGATGATGGAGAAGCACGAACACAGAGCCAGGGCAGTGTGAGAGATCCGCATGC